GATAATTTGAGAAGGAGAAGCCAGGTGGTGGTCAATCGTTGTTATATGTGTCTTTGTGATGAGGAATCTGTGGATCACCTTCTTATTCATTGCTCTTTGGCTAGAGAGTGTTGGGATTTGATGCTTGGCTTATTTGGGTTTTATTGGGTTATGCCAGGATCTGCTAGAGAGTTGATTGAGATGTGGAGAGGTTGCCATGTGGGGGCTCTCAGTCAGGATGCGTGGAGAGCTACGCCGCTTTGTATGTGGTGGTGTATTTGGCTTGAAAGGAATAGGAGATACTTTGAAGGAAAGGCGGTGTCGATTTCGGTGCTTAAATTCTCGATTATTTCCACTCTTTTTTGTTGAGTTTCAAGGAGAGATCATAGATCGTTGGAGGAGATTGTTGATTTTTTTGGCCTCTTTGAAGGCTTGAGACCTTTTTGCTCTTTTGTATTTCCTTGGGTTTCACTCCCCGCTTGAGCGTCTTTTAATAATATTCTTTTATTTATCAAAAAAAAAAAAAGGAAGGCGAGGGTGAGGAAGGTGAGTTCCTTACCTTTGAAGAAGAATAGGTGACTGAAGGAGACAATGGCGAGTTGTTATGCCACTCTTTAGTCGTGAGGAGGTTCATGTTCACGCCAAAGGAGCAGCAGCCGCAGCATCATAATGTGTTCCGTACACGTTGCACTGTCAACCATAAGGTATGTGACATTATTGATAGCGGCAGTAGTGAGAACAAGGTTTCCTTAACAATGGTTCAAAAATTGGGGCTTAAAACAAAGAAACATCTCCATCCATACAAAATTGGATGCATCAAGAAAGGCCCAGAAACGCGAGTAACTAAAAGTTGCACCGTTCCATTCTTAATTGGGAAAGCATATGCAGAGGAGGTGCATTGTGATGTAGTCGACATGGCAATTTGATGTTGATGCCACTCACCGTGGTAGAGACAATGTGTATATTATATACAAGAATGGTCAGAAGATTGTTTTAGGTCTGCTAAAAGAAGCCGAATTTCACAAAGGAAATTCAGTTATGTTGATCAACGATGAGGAATTTCTAGGCGAAATAACAACTGCCCCTAAAATCTTTATTGTTATGTGAAAAGGGGAAGTAGTTGAACAATCCTTTTATAGTACCAGCAATATTGCTGCCATTACTACAGGAGTTCAGTGAGTTGGTGCTGAAAGGCTCACCTGATAGTCTCCCTCCCATGAGGGACATTCAGCACCACATTGACTTGGTGTCCAGGGCGATCCTGCCAAATCTACCACATTACCGGATGAGTCCAAACTCGTTGGATCTTACAAGAGCAAGTGCAAGAGTTACTATAGAAATTCGCCTATGTTGTTCCGGCCTTACTAGTACCGAAGAAAGATGGCAGTTGGAGAATGTGTTGGTAGTCGCGCAATTAACAGAATCACTGTCAAGTACAGATTTCCTATTCCACGATTGGATAATATGTTGGATATGTTGGCGGAATCGAAAGTCTTCACCAAAGTGGACCTCAAGAGTGGATACCAACAGTTCAGAACCCACCTTGGCGAAGAGTGGAAAACGGCTTTCAAGACAAAAAAAGAACTGTACGAGTGGTTAGCTATGCCATTCGGATTATCTAACGCACCAAGTACTTACATGCGGTTGATGAATCAAGTACTCAAACAATTTATTGGTCGATTTGTAGTTGTTTATTTCGACGATATTCTGGTTTATAGTCAAACAGAGTCATAATACCTTTTGCACCTGATAGAGGTATTAACACCTTTTCTGAAGAATAAGTTGTTCATTAACTTAAGAAGTGTAGCTTTGTGACCCCAGGCCTAGTATTCCCCGGCTATGTGGTTTGTAGTGATGGCATTCAAGTAGATGAGGAGAAGGTGAGGGCCATTCGGGAGTGGCCTACGCTGAAGAATGCGAGAGAAGTACGCAGTTTCCATGGCTTAGCCACGTTCTACCGAAGGTTTATCAAGAACTTCAGTAGTATTGTGGCTCCCATCACAGAATGCATAAAGAAAGGAAAATTTCAATGGGAAGAGGAAGTTGAGATGAGTTTTGCCTTAATCAAGGAAAAACTGTGAACAGCTCCAATCTCAGTCCTTCCAGATTTTGAGAAGCTATTCCAGGTGGATCGTGATGCCTCAATAGTCAATAGTGGGAATCAGAGCAGTTCTATCACCAGAAGGAAGACCAGTAGCGTTTTACAGTGAGAAGCTGAGTGAAGTACGCAAGAAGTGGACTACCTACGAGTTGGAATTCTATGCGGTGGCGCAAGCTTTGCATACATGGGAGCATTATCTTATCCAGCGAGAGTTCGTGCTGTTTACAGATCACCAAGCACTGACATCCATTAACAATCAAAACAGTGTTAATCGGATGCACGCGCGATGGGCGGCTTATATACAGCGATTCACCATCTCGCTAAAACACAAATCAGGCCAACAGAACAAAGTTGCAGATGCACTAAGTCGGAAAACAGCTTTTTTAGTGACTATGAGGGTTGAAATCACAAAGTTCAAGTGCCTAAAGGAGTTATATGAGGCCGACGAAGATTTTGGCCAAGCCTAAGCAGCGTGTAAAACGAGCCAATCCTTTACAGGGTTGCACATGCACATGCAGGAAGGATTTCTCTTTAATGGCATTCAGTTTTGTATTCCACGGAGTTCTTTGCGAGAGCAAGTGGTTCGTGAATTGTATGGAGGAGGATTAGGAGGACATTTAGGGCGTGATAAAAAGCGAGAGCTGGCAGAAGAACGGTATTATTGGCCGCAACTCAAGCGTGACATGGAGAACCATGTGTGGCGGTGCTAAATCTGCCAAACTAATAAAGGCTAATCTCATAATACTGGTCTTTACACACCACTACCTATTCCAGATGCTCCATGGGAGGATTTATCCATGGATTTTGTTCTAGGGTTGCCGAGGACGCATGCAAGCAGACGAACGACGCAGTCCAAATGGCCAATCTATTCTTTAAGGAAGTGGTTCGTTTACATTGGGTGCCACAGTCCATTACCTCAGATCGTGACACCAAGTTCTTATCTCACTTTTGGCAGACTTTATGGAAGAAATTCAATACCCCTCTTAATTTCAGTAGCACCAGTCACCCCAGACTAATGGACAAACAGAGGTGGTGAATAGGACCCTTGGAAATCTAATTCGTTGTATTTCAGCAGAGAAACCAAAACAGTGGGTTCTTCTCTTACCCAGGCAGAATTTGCTTACAATTGCATGGTTAACAGGTACACTAGAAAATCCCCACTTGCGGTTGTGTATTGTTGTCCTCCAAAAGTTGCTTTGGATTTGGTATCCTTACCGAAGTTGCCGGGGAAGAGTATTGCTGCAAAGAAAATGGCTAAGTACATTAAGACCATTCAGGAGTGTGTCGAGAAACAACTAGAGGAAACTTACGCCAAATACAAGGCCGTAGCTGACAAGAGATGAAGGAAAAAGGTATTTGAAGAAGGGGACCTGGTTGTGGTGTATCTAAGAAAAGAGAGATTTCCAGTGGGAACATACAACAAGCTAAAGGCCAAAAAATAAGGTCCATACCAGATTCTAAATAAAATCAATGACAACGCCTATGTGATTGATTTACCCATTGACATGGCCATTTCTTCTACCTTCAATGTGGCTAACATACATGAATATTATCTACCAAATTCGGGTAACTTGGAGACGAGTTCTTTTTACGGAGGGTAGATTGATATAAAACAGCTCGTTCACGATTATCTGAGTATATAGGATCGTTGCAAATCAGGGAGGCAAAAAAGGTAAGAAGAATAGAAGGAAAAAAAAAATAAGGAAGAGTCAAAAGGAGAATTGGTGTAGTTGCCAACAATAGAAGATATTATTCTCCATTGCAAGATCTAAGGAGGATTCTGCTCCATCAAATCTAATATTTCCTCTTTAATATTATTTCACGCATGCTTTCTTTTTTTATTTTATTTTTGACTTGCCTATATAAAGGCAAGAGATGTAAGTCAGCAGAGATCATTATTATCAATATAATTTTAGTTTCTCTCTTGTGAGTGTGTTCTTTGTGAATTCCAGGGTTTAACCATTTTCTTTATCATTTCCGCTACGTTAAGATGGTTGAAGTAGCACCCACTGGCAATAGAATGTGACAAAATCAATTAAGATAGCAAGCACTAAATTGAAGGTTTCGAGGAAAACTCTAGAATTAAAAGAATTTAAGATAAGTAAGAACATGACTGAATAGATGATGTGTGCCTCTAGTAAATCTAGAAATACAAATGAAAATATACTGAAGATTGAGGACCAAAAGATACCAAAAAGCAAACATTATTTATGCTAGTTATTCACAATGGGCAGGATGGTTTAAATGGAGGACCACGTCTAGAACATTTTGTGATCGATGTCCAATGAAGGAGAAATTGGAGATAATGCCAATCATCAAATCAAAGCATGATGGGTTAAATAGAGGAGTTCATTTTAAATATTGTGGCTGGCACAACTCCCTCTACTAATAAGATTGAAAGAGAAATTATATCAAACCACTATTAGACCAGCCATTCTTTATTAGAAATAATGTTTGGCAGTCAAGAAACAATAGATCCGTAAAGTGAGAGGCAGAAATGTGAATCTTGAGATAGATATATGGTCAAGACAAAAATAATAGAATTAGAAACGAGCACATCCTTAAGATGGTTGAAGTAGCACCCACTGGCGATAGAATGTGACGAAATCAATTAAGATAGTTTGGCCATGTGCAAAGAAGACACTAAGAGTACCAGTTAGGAGTGGCATTGTCCATAATACGGGTAACGCAAGGGGAAGGGGAAGGGGAAGACCAAAATTAACATAGACACAGTAAAACAAAATATGATAACATCCGGTTTGACTAAGTCTATAACTTTAGAGCAAAATGGAAAAATAAGATTCATGCAGCCAACCCAAATAGTTGGAAAAGAGCTTTTTTGAGTTAAATTGAGTCCCATTTTTTTGGCCAAAGTTCAAAGTAGAATCTTGATAACAAAGCCAGGATCACGATACCTTACCAGTCCTTGCACAAAGAACAAGTTAAAAATTCCTGAGCTTCAAAACCACTGGAGCAGCACATGCATAAATCTCTTGCTTTGCAGCCCATAGACACACCATAAATGTATAAGGATCTATCAAGAGTAGTCTCTATCTGTATAACATTGAAAATAATATGATTACAGTAACAAAGCCAATAAAATTGTAGAAGAGTATGAAATGAGCCGAACCTCTGATAGTGAATTAAGCAGCATGTTTATATCTAGAACTGAATGCCCGACAATGTCCTTGCAGCACTGCTTCCACTGCTCTACCTTTTGTACTTCGGATAAAACCATGTCCAGCTCTGGGCAACTGAAGGCATCAGAGCTTCCAATTTCCTGAATAATCCAATCATATTTTTAGTTGAGCAGACAGGATAAGCAACCAAAAAGTAAAACAATGTCAACAAAATATCATGAAAATAAACAAGTTTTGGTTGTATAAGGCTATACAACAGTTGACTCTGATAACCCATCTGTTTGAAAGCACATCTGCATCATAACTTAAGATTGACGTAGACCAACTTTATTGTTTTAATATATAGAGAACCATAAACCAAATCTTACCAGACACATAGCTGGTCTCAGGAAGATCAAGAGATATAGAAACTAATAAACTATGACCATAAATAAATGAAGCGCCAGTCATAGTTCCAGACAATAACTAAGTAGCCACACAATGTTCCAAGCTTTTGACTTAGAACACCTTCGAAATCATATACTTCGGCAGCTGCCAAGGATATTGAAAGAGAAGATGTGCATGGACAAATACTACTGAAACACAGAAATGCACATTGACCAAGAGTCCAAGACATTCCATGCAGCATACTCGTACATGGATAAGATTCCATCGCATCAAGTTGTTGAACTAAAATAAAGAAAAATCCACTCTATTCTGTTACTCAAATTGCATGAGATTCAAACAGAAATTGCAAATCAACAATATTATTAAACTTCATAACAATTGAAACTGCGCTATAACTAACCCAAAAGAGAGAGAGGGAGAGAAATAAAAAGAAACTGCAATATAAAAATCATAAGAAATATTGTTTCGAAAAGAAACAGCCAATAATCAACATGTGCATTGTACACTTGTATCATCAAAAAGGAAAAAAATAAAATCCACATCATGTAAACCTTGAGCTGTAACAATGAAAACCAAGATCGATCCCCGGATGTAATGCTGAAAAAACAATGCACTTTCTCTAGCCACAAACTACATTCACAGTAAAAATGTCAGTATTAGTATGGCAAGTGATAACTAAAATAAGTAGAAAAAGAAATCATGTGTTAATTATCTTACAATAACAGAAGATAAATGAAAAGCATGCTAGTATGTTTAAACAGATTTTCTTTTATCCCTGATAAGCTACACTTACAGTAACAATGTCCATAAAAGTACAGTAATCGATTATTGAAAGAACTACGAAGAGATAATGTAATCATGTGATGATTATATATATATATAAACACACAATAGATGAAGAACATGCATGTCAGTACGTAAAGATGATGGGAGAAAATAGGGAATTTGTCAAACAACAAAAATGTGGGCCATTGACCCTTCAAAGATTATACATGATGAATGGGAGGAATAGGGAATGTGACTTTTAAAAGAATGAGAAAGTTTAACACAAATAAGTAAAGATGATATGATGTCCCTCTTGTCAATAAGCATGCCAACTACATGTCTACAGTCATCAACTGCAATGAAGCCACAAGTGAAGAGAATGTGATTATTGTAAGGGGTTAAATTAATAGCTATATCCAAGATGACAACAAAAAATTATACTTAAATGAGCAAAAGAGACTATATCATCTTCCCCATCCTTGAATTCCGAAACCCAAAAAAGGAAACAAAAAGATAAAGGTCAAAAGTTATAAATAATAAGAAATTACAAGAATGTTTTAACTATTTCTATGACATGGAATATATTTGAGTCCTTCCTTGTGTGACATACAAAAATGTCACAATAACTAAGCAGCATACTTAAGACTATACATTGATTATTTGTTGTCAAGTTAAACCTAACAATAACATGGCATTCTATGTGAAACAAGCTAGATTGATCTCAAAATCACATTAACCATATGATATGTCTTGTTTCAGATGCAGTTTCAAATGGTAAATCTACTTCGGAAGGATAGAAAAACATTAGGGGAGATAGTGGCACCACTGAACCAGGAAACTCACTCGTGTTTCTCAATAGCAGTTCCAAGTTGACAAACAACCACCGGAAATGATACTTCAAGTCTCTGCAATTTAACGATATCAAAAGTAAATCCTCCATAACAATTAAAAAAAGAGTTAATATAAGTAGGCTAAGAGAAAAGGTAAATAAAATAAAAACCTGAGACTGCAAAAGAATTTCTTTAGCATCATCCAACTTGAATCTTCTACAATTGCATAGCAAAGGAATCTCCAAGGCTTTCTTAAGCCAATTTATTCCATCCATCAAAGAACTACACAAAGCACTAGATGCGCATGTAAATGGGAGGTGGTATGCATCCTGCATCAGCATCTCAACTTCCTACAAGAAAAATAGACAGAGATATAGGTCTAAAAAGAAAAGGAAGCATAAAATGATATTTGGAGTTAAAAAAAAGGTAAATTTTCTCCTCCCACATGGGAGGATGGAGTTCAAGTCCCCATTGGGGTAATATGTTTCTGCGTGCGCACTCTTGTGAAAAATAAATTTTGAAAAAACAAAAAAAACAGAGTTCAGAAAGGCAAAGACACTCAAGCAAAATTGCAGATGCAGAGGCACATCATTATTTGTCCCCATATCCACAGCAACTAAGAATTCAAAAACTTTCATGCAGCTTTCTGCATATGAGCATTTATTTAACAGTCACAAATAATAAATTTTAAACGAGAAGCATCACATGGACTTCATCATATGTCACAATATGAAAGAGAATTCAATTGCACAAGTTGGAGCAAAGAGGAAAGAAAGATATAAACACGGGCATGCAACGTATGAAGATAAAGTCAGTCACCTCAGGTGGAGGAGCTATAGAACAGAGAGAAAGAGCCTTGAAGCACCATTGGAGTGTAGAACAGGCATCTTGAAGTTTCGGAATCTCCGCAAATTCGAAATGAAGAGAGAAACCAGCTTTTATAATTGAGTTTATTTTAGCAACTATGTGCTCAATTTTAAAAGTAAGGTCACTGGTATTTCCATCACCAATTGTATTACTATGTAAAAGGCAGTCTGCATCACACAGTAGAGAATAAGCATCATGCTCCCAATGGATGCAATTCTTTAATACTGTTTGAAGCATTGTTCTTTCGCCCATAGATACCTTCAGAAGCATTGACTGAGAAACTAATTCCTACAAAAATCATAGCATATTGTCATCCTGATTGTCCATTAAAATATAGCAAACATTCCAGATGCAAAAAATGTAAGAACCTTGAGGGCCTCAACTTTGAGAGAACTTGAGGCACGCATCACAGTTAAATCGGCCTCTAAGTAAGGCTTAGACTTCTGTAACCAAGACTTAGTCATAGATACTGCATCCTTGACAACATCAAGAGAAGGTAGAATAACAAGTATGTCCTCAGAAGTCCTGAAACATTCAAAACAAAATATTATAGCTCGGATGGAACATAATCTAAGAAATTCGATAGTCAAAAACAAGCACAGTATAAACCTTATAACATCCTCAAAGTCGGACATCTGAGCCTCACTTCCAAGAATATGTACTGCTTTTTCTTCCCAACACATAGCTGTCGCAAGTACCCCAGAAATATCAACAAAAAACTTCTCTTTCTCAATCTGCAATCTGAAAAAGTTGGCAAGTGAATTTTAAAAACCAATTGAGAAAATTAGCGCAAATGTTGACTATTCTTAATTTTGTAAGAGGCACCAAGTTAGGGAAGCTTACACAGTTGCTTCCATTATTAGTTGCTGGATGAAGTCCAAAGACATTTTAGTCCCAAGTGCCTGTACCAATATTGCATAAATTGTTTGACTTCGAGCAATAAAATCAGGAAAGAACAACTTGAACCACAGAACCAAAACAGACTGGTGAACAATGCATCAAACACCAAGCTCCCATCATAAACATAGCAGTCATTAAACTTGAAACCATCAAGGTACATTACTTGGTGAGAGGAGAAAATTTAAGACTTAAGATAAAACCGACTGTACTAGATAAAATTGGAACCACACAAAAGTTTGAAAAAGAATAAAATGTACCTTAAGAGCTTTAACCCTGCAACAAGCCTTCTTCAACTCAACCTCAACGCAAGGTAACTCGCCAACTATTTGTAAAATGAACAAATAATACAACCAAAAAATATCAATATAATTAGGAAGACAATCTTTAGGAAATAAAAGAGGGAATTTGCATATGCCAAGGAGCTTACCTTGAATTTTCAACAGCATTGCATCTTTCTGAATACAAATTAACTCTTCGACAACATGTTCTTGATCCTCCCGTTCATCAACGCTCATTAGAACAGCATTAAAGCGGGAAAGCCATGATACAGCATCACTGTGATATTGCCTCAACAGGTTTAACTCCGGAATATTAACAGTGCAACCATCCAAGTCTTGGAGGAGCACTTCAAGATTCTGCACAAATCAAAAAATAAGTATACATACATGCCATTCTTTGTACCCAACTTAAATGAACCCTTTCAAGAAAACAAAAGATGAAGCATCTGCAAGGAACGACCTTTAGATTAATAGGTCCTGTCAACATCTCATTGCACCGAGCACGACGAGATTCAACTAGCTTTATTAAATCCAAAAGCATGTCAGCTTCAGGGAGTTGAACTTGAAGCTCCGAAATCTATCCAAAATCAATAATAAAAAGTTTAAAACAAGTAAACCACAGAAAGTATATCCAACAACAACGCAATTTGACATAGAAAATCTATCTATATCACCTCTGACTTTAACTTGTACAGTATATCAACCTCAATTGTAGCAGGATGTTTTTCTGATATGCATCTCTTCACACTATCTAACCAGACCTATAGGACCGCAATAATGGGAAAATATCAGCAAAATTATAAAGCCACCGGAACTAAAAACCCCTTAGAAAACACCATCTATAAAAGGAGAATGCCTAAAATGGCGTGTCAAAGTAAGCCACCCATCCCCATCTAAAGCTGCTTTAGTGTCATTTTTTTCTTGTGATCTTTTTGGGGTTAAAAAAATTGGAAATGCAAGAATAGCTGAAAGGCAATCTCGGGCATCCACAAAACTATGAATGAAATTGAATAGCTCCTCTTCAATTAAGTTCTCCCCACCCAGTTGAAAGGACAACAAGAGAATTTTTTGTCAAGTAGATTTAGAGCATAAGTCTACAGGCATATTACAGAAATTAATTCCAATCGATAAAGAGTAGTTTGCTCAGTTTAAACTGATTTAGAGAAGAAAACCTTAGAAAAAATTGACCAGAAGAAAAACTCTTCCTAAAGATTTATATAAAGATTAAAATATAGGGAAGCCAACAAAATTTACCTTTGCAAAAGATAGCTTTCTTGCTAATTTTTCACCATCTTTTAGATAGATTGGAAAGTCACGAACCTTCGAGTACAGGACTTCCCAATCAGTAATCTGGAGTGGCAATGATAAAAGAACAGAACAAAATTGCTCAAATTGAATGGAAAGAAGTAATACTAGATCATAGTGAAATTACATTATTGAATACCAAAAATTCAGTTCCACAAATTTTGTAGATATAAGTTTAATGATTAGAGCACTGTAAGTGTAAGAGAGTTTACAGAAGCTTTTGAGCACGAGGAGAGAGCAGAATCAATTTCCTGAATAAGCACACCAGCTTTTTCTTCATAATTCTACATAAAATGAATCAAACAGTTCTAAGAGTTCTATCAACAGACGGAGTCATACAGCAAAAACCACAACACCACTGTAAAATGTTAACCTTCAATTTAAGATTCTTGGGCTCATTACAAGGCAAAGGGTTAAAACAAAGCAAATTGGTAACATGTTCCAAATGCACTTTTTCTATATCATGGCAGTGATGGTATGACCATTTCTCGACTTTAGAAAGACAATCTTTTATGTTTTCTGCCCATTTCTGAGCTTCAATCAAGTTCTTTGCCACGTCTCGCACCTACACTCATGAGTGGAACATATACATATAATTCAGCCAATTTAATTATTAAGCATATGCTCAAGAGTTACAAAAGAATGAAACTTAAATACTTAAAGCTCACCGGATCCATTTCAGAACCAGCCCAAAGAAACTGTTCAGCTTCCTTTAATGCATTAACATAAGCATCTTTAGAATATGGAATCTGAAGAATCTTACAAGATCTCAAAAGCCATTGTTCTGCAAGTTCGGAAAGAGAGATATGACCACCTTTAACCTACATAAAACACAGTCATAGCAGAAAATAGTCAACTAACTTTTATTTTTAGCAGCTAAATGTTTTTTTTTTTTTTTTTTTGATAAGTAAGATATGCATAGAAAGCGCTCAAAAGGGGACACATCCCAAGGGAACAACACAAGGCCAAAAAGGGCCTTTAAGCCTTCAAAGAGGCTAAGAAAACAACAACATCCTCTAGAGATCTAAAATCTCTACCAAAAACCCAACAAGAAAAAGTGGAAATAATAGAGAACTTAAGAAAAGAAATAGGCCTCTCCTTGCCATCAAAAAATCTCCTATTCCTCTCAAGCCAAATGCACCACCACACACAAAGAGGCATAGCCCTCCAAGCATCACGAATATGGGCCCCCACAGAACACCCTCTCCAAGCCTCAACCAGCCCCTCTAGTGGATCGAGGCATGACCCAATGGATCCCAAACAAACCAAGCATCAAGGCCCAACAATCCTTGGCCATGGAACAGTGCAGAAGAAGATGATCCATTGTCTCCTCATCCCGAAGACACGTGTAACACCGATTGACCACCACATGATTTCTCATTCTCAAATAGTCTTGGGTTAAGATCTTACCCAAAACAGTGGTCCAAGCAAAGAAAGCAACCTTGAGAGGAGCCTTAGAGCGCCACACAGACTTCCAGGGGAAAGTTCCTCCAGGCTCCACAAAAAGACACCTGAAGAAGGAACGAACATCAAAGCGACCCTGCGAATTGGGAGCCCAAATCCAACAATCAAAGTCTCCATCCACAACTCCCTACCGATACAACACCTCCAACAGACGAGTGGCATCCTCAACCTCCCAATCCAAAAGAAAACGCCTGAATCGAACGTCCCAAACCAGTCTCCCGCTATCAAGCTGATAACAGTCAACCACCCTGGCCTGCCTATCCGTAGCAATCCTGAAGCGCCGTGGGAAAGCAAGAGCAAGAGAAAGATCCCCACACCAAACATCCTCCCAAAAACTAATCCTTCTGCCATCCCTGAGTCTAAAACGAACATGAATGGAAAAATCAGCCCAACCCTTCCGAATACACTTCCAGACCCCCACACACCCCTCAAGCCAGGCACCTCAAGAGAACACCACCCTCCTCTGCATTCCCCATATCTACTCGCAATAACCCTCCGCCAAAGCCAAAGCCTCTCCACCCCAAACCTCCACAACAACCATTTCCCAAGAAGAGCTTTGTTGAAAGGCACCAATCTTCTAAGCCCCAACCCACCATTTCAAATCGGCCTGCACACATGCTCCCACCGAACCAGATATTCCACATGCCGAAGACAATAAAAATACTAGAAGTTTAAGTTATGCACCCCAAACATCATAAATCCATGAATTTTGTCCTCCATAGGATATATTCCACTTCCCTTATGCTTGCTTCTTCTTTTACTTCACTGTCATTACTTTTAGGGGCTCAATGTCAGAATTGTTTACACAGATTATGGCAACATTGCATTAGATAATGTTATTGTAATAAAAAGCCAAAGGAGAAATTTATTATCATAAAGAATGAATAATGAGCTCATTGAAAAGACATCTGATGTACTTCTTCTTCCCAAAGATCCACTTTTTTCAAAGGAGAAAGATCACATCCAGCAAGAAAGTTTTAGCTCAATAGGATTTAGGTAGGCAAATTTTGTTCTACAAAACTGGAATCTGTGACTTTTAGTTTAAATTTCTAGCTTAGGTTACAAATTTTTCAAAAGTTACAGTTATTTGATTACCTCCCAAGGTCGAAGAAGGAAATCAAAGCTACATTCAAGTATAATTCAGTAATCTTCCAAGTCTACAAGGGTAAAAACTAAAAAGGTAAATTAACAGATGCACTCACCAAATTAGGGTCCATGCATGCATAATTACAGTTTCTAAACTTTCATGATTTTAATCTTATTTGATTCTCTAAATCTTTTAAAACATGCATTAAAAGTTTTTTGGAAATTTCTGTTTTAAGAAATTTTCTAAGTATTGAACTGCAGTAAACTTCAATCGAGGGCTTCAGGTCAATCGATCGAAATAGTTTTTTGGAAAAGTAGTTTCAAAGATTGCTCTAAACAGTACCCTACTATCCCTATACTTCTATGTTGCCTATATATATATATATGATATCACAGAGAATATATATAGAAATTAGCATTATTTGTGAGTTTTTTTTCTTTTCTTTTTTTTTGCAAAAGTAGCATTATTTGTGAGTTTTAGAGTGCATATTTAGTTTATTTTTAAAAAAAAATGCATTATTTGTGAATTTTAGGGTGCGTCTTTTTTTTTTTTTTTTTTTTGTACATTCTTCATGCTTAGCTTTGGTGGAATGTAAATTCATGTGTTGACAACTACTGGTGCATACTAGATTGAAGAGTTCAACACAAACATTCGATCCTCCATCAGAACTGCAGCCTGATCGATAAGTGGCAGACCAAAATCACTAGAGAAGTAGATTCGTGAGGAGTTGATGTTGTTGGCGAATAGACATATAGCCTAGAGACTTTCAGAGAAAGTTTGGAGTCATCTGTATCATGAATTCAGGATGTATCAGAAGGTAACACTCGTCAAAAATAAAAAACTAAAAAAAATAAATCTGTATCAGGAGGTAACTAGGATATTTTTGGGATAAAAGTCCATTTACCTAAGTTGAACTCTCTCTCACATAGGTGGGTTTTGGTTTGCCTATATGAGGGCCTGTGGTTTTTCTACTTGGGGTTCCACGTAAAAATCTCTGGTGTCCATTGATTTGCTTTTTATATTCTTATTATTGCTATCAATCGATGAATTTTTATACCAACAAAATTAAAATTCCTGTTGAGCAAATTTTACATTCAAAAAGTTAATAATTTCAGTAATTAGTTATACAAAACCTAACACCCCCCCCCCCCCCCCCCCCCACCTCCTCCAGGTGTAGATTACGGACCTTGAGCGACTCTCCGTCAGAGCCTTGGGTTCCGATCCTTAAAATCACCAAGTGAACAAAGGTACAAATTCAACCCAGAATTTCAAAAAGTAAAAATCAGCCAAAAGAAAATTATGTTTCCACACATTTATATGTAAAATTGGGAAAACAAGACTTTGATTATTTAAGGAAAAGATCACTCTTTCAGCATACTTCTTGGCTCTCCAAGCAAAAAGCAGATAGGAGCCAAAAACATTGCTAACAAACCACACACGACTAGGCAGATTAACATAACTCCAACTAAAAAGGTAAAATAAGTTCACATTAATCTAGTAAAAAGAACCAAGATTAAACCTTTTTCATCAAAGCACCCGATTTGGAACACAAAAGTTCCCTTCGCAAGCTTCTATTTTGTAGCGTCTCCTCAGAATTATATCTATCCATCTTAAGCACTAAGTCACTCAATTCCGCCAATGTATGACGATAAAGAAGACAATGTTTTTTGGGTTTGCATTCACAAAGGTGTTCCCAGTGCTGCAACAGAAAAATATAAATAATTAGTTGAAAGAAATTATTTGAGAAGATTCAAATGTTTGAAGTTTCAAAGTAAAGGGAAGATTGAGCAAGCCTGTGAAATTTCTAATGGACTGCATTATAGTTCCTCAAGAAATTTCCATCATAAAAGGTATAATAACTAACTGGTCATGGAAGCAAACATCATCATATATTAAATGGAATAACATTATGTTGCACTTTTTCCTTCATGTCCAGTCAATTTTCGCCTCTTGTTATTCATGGTAAATCAACCTTTAAGGCATATCAAGACAACGTAACTTGTATTCTTCCTCTCTTTATAATTTCTTTTTAGCAGTCAACAAGAGAGGCCATCAAGGAACTGTTTGCATTGGAGGAGAGGGAAGTGACCAAAATAAAATAAATATATAAAATGACCCGTTTCTTTCTTCCCATGTTTTAATTGACAACTTCAAATCTGAACATAAAGACAGTAATCATATATTTAACTTAGACTGAAATTACAATGTCTACATTTTAATCAGAAATTTTATTAAGATCACTTACCTGTAGACACACAAAAGCAGATGGCCTACAGCGGCAAACAACAGCAGAAAGATACAAGTACTGATGGCATATAATGCACGTAGGATCCTTCAACCATCAGGAGATATCAGTCACCACAATGAATAACTTAGATAGCTATATTATTATTCTGATATTGCATAAAGTTGACCATGCAGTGGGAACAATAGTTTCAAAAGTAGGATAAAATTTCACAGCACTATACTAATACCTCTTCAGTACCAACATATTCAGGGTGCTTCCGTGGTGACATGGGAGCTGAATTAACAATGCCATTTCTCCAAAGTCGCTCTCTCCAAGTTCTCTCTTTCTCATATATTCTAAAGAATTCTTCCCTCAAGTAAGGTAAAGTTTTGCTATCATAGTCACTCTGCAAGTAACATAACACACTTGAGCAAATGCAACTAATGACCCACAGAATTAACTCCAGGATTCAACTTGTAAAGAATCTATGCAGTGCGTTTTAACAGTTGACAGGATGGAGACTTCAACAACAATCAAAGAAAATTCAGTTGAGGATTTTGACAGTTTAACAGCCCTCGAAACTGAATAATGTGTAGCCTTAGTTAAAATCAGAAGAAAGCAGAAGAAAACTAATTAAAACTAAATACAATAATGACCCAGCAGTAGCGCCACTATTTAAATTTGCACATTAATACTGTATCCATTTGTGAAATTGTGGAAACATGTAGCAAGTCAGCTGAAAAGCATTAAATTTCAGACACCAACATAAAATTGAACTTCAAACTGTATGATTGATTGATTCAAGGACTAAGAAGAAAGAGAAAAGCATAGATCTTATCGAATCTTTCATCATAGCATGCACAAAATCATATTCCTGAATGAGAATGGGTTAGAAGACATGGATTTAGTATGCCTGGATAATAATGGAGCAAGAGATGAACGTCAAGTTGCAAACTTTAGTTTGATGGCAGATTTATTTTGCAACGCTTATTGCTTTAGAAGGAACATAGGGCAAAAATTCCAAACTCTCAGTGTTCAGCAGAAATCAAACTGTTTGTTGGGGCTGGAGGGAAGAATCAGATACAGAGGAGGAAAGTTGCCTATAAGAACTGAAGGATGAACATGGAAATGACACCATCAAGAAAAGCAACTCCATTGAGGCTGAAGGTGCCAAAAGATCACAGGCCAAGATGAATGTAAAAAGTGAACATGGACCAATTGAGTAAGAAACGGAGTGAAAATTTGTTGTCTAACATAGGATATAACTCCTAATAGAATTAATGAAAAAACTGTGGCAAATCCCAACTACCTAGGACATGAGCAGCACGGAAACATGCAAAACACACTGTGAAACAATAAATCTTAAAACGAAGACAAAGAAAATGTCGTGACAGGACGAAGAATAAATATATTTTCATTTATAAATTATAAAGAAAATGTCGTAACAGAAAGAAGAAGAAATATATTTTAAATTTTATAATAAGTTAATATAGTATTACATTGTTGTAATATAAAATTTGTAGCTTAAAAATCACAATGACCATGCCTTTCCCTTTTTTTGGCACCCAACACTCACACAGACCCCCCTATTGGCTCAAGTGAAACTTAAACTCTGACCTCCCCCCATGTAGGAGGAGGAGATACAACTTGGGCTAAAAGTTTTGTGGTCACAATACTCATGACATGTAGAAAGTACGTATCTATTTCGAAATGTAAATGCACAAACAATTATGATGACTCCTATCCTCCCATGTCCAATTCTTTGAATAGTCTTCCTATGTCATATAATTCCCTAAAGGGCCTAAAGTACGTCAAACTTTTGAATAATCTTATAAAAACATGTAATATGATTATTCGTTAGAATTATACTCTAAACTAAAATAAAATCATATCTCAAAATGTACGGCTTGTTAGTCATCATGTTGCATGTCCAATAAGTGTCAACTGTGAGTCCAAAATAAAGAATCTTTTGTTCAAAGTAAGGACACTTCTGGGATGTGTCTGACACATGTTCAGTAGCGTTGAAAAAGTGGCAACGTATAACACACAACCGACACAGATGTGACTGCTTACAAACATGTCTGCTTCTTGTATTACAAAAATTTAGGATTAAAGCTTTGTTTTCCAATTCCCCCCCCCCCCCCCCCCCCCCCCCCTCCCTTTTTTTGGAAGGAGATAAAACCACGGACAAGGTCTTCTTCATGATTCCCATATTTGTTGGATTTGCTTTATAGCTTTGCTTGCATTAAAAGAATTTTCATGTTTCCTCTGATATTTTTTCTGATTAAGGAGCTAACAGCAGTTAAGAAAACTTCTAACCTTTGCTACCACACAAACAAGCTCCTCGTGAGATAAAACAGCAGTTTTGTGATACAGCTGATATAGCTCTGCTCCAAATCCACCATGAGGTAGCCAATCTGCAGGAGCAAAATTGACTGCCTCTGCACAATTCAACCCTGTAAGACCATAGAGTCAATAAGATATCCAAATTATTATGTACCAAGTATGATGCGTTATAATATTATAAACCCTTCAACATATAACTGTCAATTAATAATGTCATGGCTTACCGAAATTGAAACCTCCATGGAAAGATCTGGGGAAGGTGATGACAAAGTTCCCAGGCTCCTGGAGAAAACAAGCATGTAAGAATTAATAAATAAAGATATAAATAGAATCAAATAGAATACAAAAAAATGGTGTTAGCAAGTCATCTCCACTGTCCACAACAATAATACGCTGATAACCTGATATTCGCTTTAAGAATTAAAACTAAATTGGAAGGTTCAGTTCAGTTAATGCTGGCAATAAGAAAATCCAAGCCCCAATTAGATCCTCATTCAGAATTCTAGAACTAAAATTGGATATACATAGAAAAACTTTTGGAAAGGAAACGAGCAACTACAACGGGGAAAATTAATAATAAAAAATAGATAAATAAAATAAATAAAAAGTGTAAACACACAAAAACAGCTTTAGGATATCAGATTGTTTATGAATGGCTAGGCTAATATGACCAATCTCCTCCCTTTCTATTACCGATCTTCTGCTGCTGCTTGTAATGTGTATGTACATGTAGTATGTATATATAAACACATAAAGTATTCTGTATTCCTATTACAGTTGTTTTTTTTTTTTTTTTTTTGTGATTATACTGCTCATATTCACATGATCATAAAATTCAAAAAACAATATGTGATTGAGGAGGAATGTAACAGCATACCGGTCATATAATCATGACTGCAATTATTAACAAATATGAGGAAACGAAGATGATTTGCAAATAAAAGCAGTCAAGTCCAATTCTAAGCTATTAAAAAAACGGGGGGAAGGTTTAGACATCCTCTGAGCTCAAAAAGGAAAAGCCATACACTTGGCACATGCACAAATGAAGGGATAACAAACAAGCAGCCGCTGCTCACTGCTTTTAAAAGAACAACTTTGAATATAGTTCATATCCAAATATGGAAAAAACAAACAGCTTTAGCATACATCAGCTTCCAGATACCAGTTATTATACAAGTATATAGTTCATTCCCAAACATTTAGATTAGGAAAATGATTCTTGCACTGAATAGTTGCAGTGAATTGCTAGACCTACTCTTTTAATTGGTCAATTATGTAACAAATAAGGAAGTGGAGCCCTCCACTTACTAGTATTTGGTATAAATAGCCAATTAAAAATTATTCAGTTAGGCAATTCACTGAAAGTGTTCGGTGTGAGTATCACTACTCTTTAGATTATCCAAAAAGGATACAAAGCCTGACAAGCTCTAGGCTATATCCTGAACAGAATACCGATTATTATTTGGGAACCCCTTTTTAACACCAGCATATGCATGCCTAGTGGCTTGAACCGCAGGCCACTATAGCATACATGACCCAAATATATAAATTAAAAAAAAAATGCTCTTACTTCACTTTCTAGAAACTTCTATGAGAAAGTGAAAGTAACTAAAACAATGTTCAATACCGCAACCACTTTGCAACAAACAATGGTAAAAATCATAAGTCCTGAAATTTCAATTATGTTTATTCATTAGGACAAAATACACAAATGCGTGAATGTTGAGTTCATGTCTTAGCATATCAAACCTGCAGTACACTGTAGACTGGAACACCGTTTTCTTGCAGGACAGATGGATTCAGCATAGTGACAAGCTGAAAGAGCAAATCTGGTTGCACATCAAATAGATCGGGTAGACTCTTCCGCATGACCTGCACAATGGCAGAATTACTTGCAAGCATGTTCATCAGGGAAAAAATAACATCTCAATCCTGCCATCTAGATATATATAAAATAGCACACAGCATTAAATAGCATACCGCATACATATTTTCCCATAGATATAAAACATGTCCATTCTTTTTAGGCCAAAACACTTCCACGCTTAATCTTACAAGGCTTCCACTCAATCCAAGTCATAACTTTGTCCACTATTTACCACACATCATGCAAAATAGGCTTGAGTTTGGATACTGTCATAGGTCTGATCATGTTTCTAAAGGCAACAACAATAAAGAATCTCTCACTGAAAATAGAAACTTGGGTTCAGATTTCCGAGAACAATTTTCTGAAAATCTAGAAAACTCAACCAAAAAAAGCCCTGCTTTCAAAGATCAGTCTTTTTTAGTTCTCTGAAAACAGTTTTTGTTTTATGAATTCTTGAGAACTGTTTTAAGGAAACTGAACCAAAACAGGCCTTTATCTAACATTAAAAAATATTCTGGCATGCATTTCTCCAGCAATGCATCCCAATTGGTAAATTTTCGAGAGAGAACATAATATAAAAGCCTTCCAATTAAAAAGGTTGAGCACATCTTAGTCATCATGACAGCAGCAAGAGCTTAAAATAAATGTTTCAGAAAGCAGCATCAAAAGTACAAATGAAAAAAGGTAAGCAAAGAAGTATGGTTTGGTATTAGTTACATGTAACGTACTTTCGCCTCCTTTTATGTATTTTTTCTCCTAGTATTTTTGTTTTCATATAACACCATCTATTAGCTTGAGTGGTATTTTCTCAAAAAGAAATGCGTGGAGTTTTAGAGTTTAAAGGAAAGGGTAAAGTAACACAGAAAGATACGGGACTAAAAGGAAATTAGCCCACTGCCCTGACTATTGCATGTTGGGGTCTGAGCCTCCAAGTTGAAAGAGAATGAAGAAGGCATCAATGCATGATGAAACCTTCGAGCTTGATGAGCACAATCTCAAATCAGGTCAGACTGTAGCAAAAAGAAATCAGGAGGAATAGTAAGAGTTCATATAATAACATCTCCATCACAGCAACACAGGCAACTAAATCTTCTTCAACTTGAAAAAGGGGCTGGTTTCCTTTTTCTTTGTGAAAAGGGGTTTCTTCCTTCTTCTTCTTTCCAATCTTACTTATAAATAATAAAAAAAAATTACCTTTATAGCACAGTTGTACAAGTGTTGGCATGGCAGCATAAAGGAAGGAACGGGTTAAGGTTCAGAATTTTATAGCTCATCAAACAAACTAGTAGCGCTTTTTGCCCTGTTTCTATAATACAAGGCCATACAGGTCAGAGTCCATGTCTAAACATGGCCCTAATAGGATGTGTCCTAAAAATCTGTCTTTGAATCCTCAGCTTAGACCTAGCCAGAAATGAAGCTCTATAAGGCCATCTTGAAACAACCAGCTTACATTTGGGTAAAAATATTTGTATAATGCTATCAGTACAACAAGCCAAACCTACAAGATAGGTGACCTGGCATGTCTGTTCACCAAGCGGTTTCCTAATGACTTCAACGATCCAACATAACAAATCATCTCAAGGATTCAACCGAAGGCAATAATGCAGCACAATTGAAAATTTCTCTTAAGAAAAGTTCAGAAGGAACTTCAAACTAGATGGGAAAAAAATTAGCATTTTTCTAGCCTCTAATGCTTCTAAATCACATCCTTCAAACTGTGCATGTATAAAGATTAAAGCTCGGACCGTCAAATGTGAAAATACAGCTTTGAGCCTGAGGGCATCCATTTAAGTATGGATGGAAATAAATAATTAAAAAGAAAGGCAAAATGTTAATCTTGACCCAATCGACACCTCGTACTGGTGCTACCACAGCTGCTTCACAGGATCAAAAGACCTTTTATCCATTCATTTGCATAAGCAATATTGTGAATGGTAATGAAGTATGTTTGTAACAAAGCAGAATATAATCAATCTTAAGACTAAAACATCCTGCAAATAAACAATTGAGTATGAAGAAATAATTCAACTAGAAAACAATTGTCATCATTTAATCAGCTAAATCAATGTGTTTGCTCTTCCTCTTCTTCTTCTTCTTCTTCTTCTTTCTTTTTCTTTTTTGTGTGTGTATTGTCAAAGGTATGCATTGTCAGCTGTTTTACAACTTACAAGGGACTCTTCTTCATCACTGTATTCATTTTGACATGACGTGACGTGAGTATAAGTATAGAATATGAGGTCCCACAAACGAACCCAAATCCTCTACATGTGATGATGGAAGAAGTAAAAAAATCTCAAGTTTGATAGCATAATTTTTTTTTTTTTTTTTTTTTTTTTTTGACAAGTGATGGCATAGAAAGTTTTTTCCACTGCAGAGATAAATGGAAACCCCTTTTAACCACATCCCATTTATATACAATATAATTTATTCAAATTAGCAGAATGTGCCAGCGTACACGTACCCAACTTTTGGAAACCTTTTAAGGCAAGTCACTCTATTCTATGATTTGAAATTCAAAGAAGTTAGAAACTTCAGACACACGGCCACACATCATACGCTGATACATGTACCCCGAATCATGTAACATGATTAGGAACCAAATTTATGATCTATGATTGGTTTTACAAGAATGGAATCAAACAAGCAGCTAATTTCACCAAGTTCCTTCCTTCAGAAGATATTACACACCCAGAAAAAGAACTAGAGGGGAAAAAGTGATATAAGCAATTACTGACCATAAATCAAATTAAAGAACTTTGTTAACAATCACTCCAGACAAAAGCACGGGCATAAATCAAAGGGCAAGACTTATCTCTGATAGAAACTGATAATTACCTTCTCAAAAGCACGGGCTTCACTACCAGGGACACTGTACCAACATTTTGGTTCCCCCCTGAAAGCATATGAGATCATAAGAAGCAAAGAGTACAAATTATAATATGATAAGGAACTTATCTAACAATTCTATCACTCTCTACCACAAGAAAGTAAATGAGTTGAGGAGAGGGATGCATCAATTCATATTTGTCATGTAACAAGAAATGTTAAAATCAATTTGGTAATTGGTGAACATATTGGAGAGACGCATCATGAAAGTAAGAAGTGTCTAGCCTATGTGCGAGTGAGGCATTATGCAATGAAGTTTTTCATGAGGTATCACCAAGGCTCAAGCTAAAAGGTTCACTTTCATTTAGATACATGCTGTCCAGTGAAGTATGAATGTGGTACATACCTAATACATTGGGCATACCTCATGCATAAGCTTGGGCCTCGTTTTTCTTTTTTGTTTCTCTAGAAAATGAAGATGATATATGTGTCTATATGTGCAAATTGCATGAAAGAATGATGAATCTCATCCAAGGTAAACTTGATAAGAAAACGGGAAGTTGAAATAAAATAATGATAATCAATACAAATTGATATTAAGAAAGTCCGTAATGTCCTCAAATATCCCTCAAGAATTTGCCCCTCTTTCAGCTAAAGGATCAACTCCCTGGCTGCAACCATAAAATAACTATTGACTACCAGGGCCACAACAGAGGAGAGATCAATATTCTTTCACAAATATGTGGCCTCTTCATCGATTGTAGACTCCTACGAAGCCAATTGATCACTAAAGATGAATTGTCTCAGCTATGCAGCACGATGCCACAGAAACTTTTTAAATATAAGCCGTGTCCATGTCAGAGGACAAGGACCTGTTGTAGAATACAGCACACTGCATCGCACTAAACAAGCCTAGACACATTCTGAGCAATCCTCTGAAGTGTAGATAATGAAAAAACAACTCTTCTCTATTGTGCACATGGCCAATAAAGGACAAACATACAATTAACAAGTGCGAAAACATTTATTTTGTTTCTATATAGGGAAAGAATACATACACACACATAAGTTGCAAAAAGAAGCATGAGTAATTAATAATAGTGAAAATTGACAAGAAATATGCCAATAGGAATTAGTGAGGACAAATTTATCTCCCTTTTAAAGGTTTTTGCCTCTCCATGAGTCCATACAACTAATCTCCGCTAGAACTTCTCAGCTACCAAGTGCCATACCATTTTCGTCTTAAAACTTAAAAGAGAGTCAAAAAGGAAGCCACAATACGCAGTAGGTAGAGCGTAGAGAACCTACCTGACATCCCAAACTTCCTGCCAGTCTTGTAATATCCATCTCCCTAAAGCAAATCAACTCATTTTTTCCTAGTTCCACCCTCAATTCTGACATTGATTCAATATGAAACAGAACCCACAAAAGGTATCTAAATTGCTCCTCGTTTTAGGGAAAAAAGAAATTAATAATGGTGTCAAATGCAATAACATCTTGATCTTCAATTTAATAAGACACGATAGGAAATATTACTTTATATCAATATCCAATAACCATAATGGTTAAAAAAATCCTAAATATTATGTTAGATGAGACTTGCATCGAAGAACCACAGTAATCATCATAAAAAGATCTCTCATTTTTTTTCTTTTGATATAAAGCAAAAATTTCAAACAAAAAGCAATTTATCTAGCCTTCCAACTTAATTTATTTCTATTTTTACCATCCAACTTCAGTTGAGATGAGATTGCAAAAATTTCAAAAAGATAATCTCTAGGGATGACCTTAGGGACAAAGTTAAGTATGATTGGTGAATTAGGGGTCGGTGTGCTCTATGTTGGAAGCTGGGAGATACGAGAAGGAACTTGAAATTTAATATGCCCTTCTAGATGGTCCTCTCCATAGTTCAACCTCATAGCTTTCCATGTGTTCTTCACTTTATGCAAGTTGCTACGTGGTTGTATGGATCATATACCATTACATTGCCATTCTTCTCGAGCGTCAAATGAATTCCTTGTTCAAATAAGGAGTAAAGGGTAATTTGAGGCATCTGAAGAATGTATAAGATCTTATGACTGGCCTATTTTAAAGCCTAAAGGCAATAAGACATGTCCATGGGTGCTTTAGGCACATTTACAACTTGATTAAATACTAGACTTTTCTTCTGATAGTCCAATCTCTTTTAGTTGACGTTTCTATTTTTTATGCCAAAAATACGTGATTTTCTAGTGTGATTGGAAATTGTTTGTAACACACAAAAATCCTTTATTAGCCTGGCATATATTGTCCATATCACTTTTTGTCAATGATGTTTTACATTAATATGCAAGTAAAACTTGATAAAATAAATATTATATTTTCTAAAAAGGAAGAGGCACACCATACAAGACTGAACAAGATGCATACCAGTGATGATAATTCATTGAATAGAAACAATGATCTTCAAAATGCCAGCAGAAGGACGAGAAAAGCATCCCAATGTAGAGCCAAGGCACCATGACACCAGCAATGCTATCAGGAACAGCTCGAAGCATTGACCCTTGTAGCTTGGGCAGGTTATTGATATTCCAGGGGCTTGCACAATATTCATCCCATAGCTCAGCCTCTACTGATGGTGGTCTTTGATCATTGACACGTGGAAACCCACTCCCATATTTAGAAGTATCCAGGTCACTACCATACATAACTTCAACCTCACCGACCGATCCCTCCACAATTTCCCAGAACTTTTTCTCCAATTGCACCCGTGAGGTTGATGTTGAGCCAAACCATTTCTTCTTGGCTCGGTCAGCAACACGCCTAAAAGCTTCCAACGAGAAACACTTACCAGGAACAAAACCAAAACTATCTTTATCAGAATTCAAGCACTCCAAGCAATACCAATTACCAGGTGGGATCTGCTTTAAGGGTGGTGACAAACAATAAATGTGCCACCCCCTATTACACCTATCACACAATAGCATTACTTCCCCATGCAACCCACTTCTACATTGTTCACATATCTGATCAAGCTCTTCCACCTTCTCCTCTATCTTACATGCTTTAACTGTCTCCCCTTCCATGTTTTTCCGCCTTCTTTTAGAACTTGAAAAAACGAAGTCCGGTTCACTGTTCCTCTCAACATGCAACCCTCTCTTACAACTCTTAGCTTTGTTATAATAATTCTCATAGTCGTACAAATGCTCTCGATACAACTGACACAATACATGCTTTGCGCACTCCGAAATCTTCCTGGTTGACCGCACAAACCGAAAAACCTCTCCCCACTTCTTTCCCTCTACAACCTTGTCATAACCCCCATACCGCTTCACAGCATTAAATAGTTTACAGATATCTAATTCTTCCCCTTCAAACACTACCTTCTTCTTTACCTTCCTACCGCAATGTTCCTTCAAAAAGCTATCATACTCTAAGTCAAACGTCTTCCGATCACACGGGGGAGGGCGAACTTGTAACTGATGAATTGCTTGAGTTTTTGTGGGAAATGTGAATGAATCTAAATCTAGGGCAAATGGGGGTTTCCAACTCTTGGGTGGAACAATTTTACAAATCCCATAAGGTTCAGCCTCTGGCCTGATCTTGTAAATAAATTCCAAAGGGTCCTTAAATTCATCCTCAGTTGGATAATACACGGGCCCTTGTGGTATAATTAATGACCCAGGTGATGATAACACACTAGAATTTTGCCCTAATACCCCTTTCTCTACAGCTCTTGGTTTTCCTTTCCCCATCAAAACCTCAAACCATACATATAACCCTATCTAACCACATGCATATATAGATATAGATATATATATTGAGAGAGAGACACAAACGCATAACAATCTTAATGAACCATGTAGAGGATTGAAGATAGTGGTCTATAGAATTTCAAACGTACCTTCTCAGAGAGAAAGAGAGACAGATGGAGTGCGTGCTCGGGGTTTGAAGCTTTAAAGAGTACAGAGTACAGGGTACAGAGTAGGCTTTGTTGAAAGATTTTTTTGCAGTACTTGAAATCCTCTCTCTATCTCTATAGTGAGAGTGTCTTTCGTGGGAGATTCTTGGAGAAGGTCGTTTTTAGGTTTTTGCGGAAAGAGGAAAAGATAATAGGACCTAAAAGTAGCAAAAATTACGAATGTGGTAATAGCTTTATTTCGTCTTTCTTGATTTCTTTCGGAATCTCACAGGGGAATGCGTGTATTCCACGTGCTCTCGATCTGGATGAACCACGTGGTCTGAGTCGATCGACGATCTATATTTTGTAGTCCTTTTCACGCCGTGTGATGGGGCGTGTGGATATTTACACGTGATTTCTTGAAGAAACAGTCTAGGTTCTCTCATTAATTTCTCGGTTTTGTAATATACGTGTCAGAGACCCGAAACGGTGAAATGAACGGCTGTGATGATCCGAGTTCATAGTTAAGATCGTGTCTGGTGGGACCAGCTAGAAATGGACCCGCAGCATGATTCAACGGTTTTGTGAAATCTATGGGTAGAAGAAACAAGAAAGACTCAAAAAGTAAATACGGAGTAATAAATAAATAAATATATATCAGCGGTGCTTACTGGTGGTTCAATTTGAAATTGTAGAGCCGACTGGAGAAGCCGAAATAAGGGTGCACATTGGGATGGCAAATTCCCCATCCCAGGGCCGTCCCGCGCCCATTTATAACTGAAATTAGGATCATTTTAGCTAGATGGAAATGAAAATGAGGATTGGGGCAAATTACAAATTCCCGCCGAAGACAGGGATGGGTAAACTCATCCGTCCCGATCAAGTCTGAAGTTATTAATATACCCTTATATATAATAATTTATTACTAAATTAGATTTAATATATATATATATAATAAATAAATAAATATATATCAGCGGTGCTTACTGGTGGTTCAATTTGAAATTGTAGAGCCGACTGGAGAAGCCGAAATAAGGGTGCACATTGGGATGGCAAATTCCCCATCCCAGGGCCGTCCCGCGCCCATTTATAACTGAAATTAGGATCATTTTAGCTAGATGGAAATGAAAATGAGGATTGGGGCAAATTACAAATTCCCGCCGAAGACAGGGATGGGTAAACTCATCCGTCCCGATCAAGTCTGAAGTTATTAATATACCCTTATATATAATAATTTATTACTAAATTAGATTTAATATATATATATATATATATATATATATATATATATATATATATATATTAAATCTAATTTAGTAATAAATTATTATATATAAGGGTATATTAATAACTTCAGACTTGGATATATATATATATATATATATATATATACACACACACACACGAAAATAAGAAAAAATGTGTTTTTTCATAATTAAAAATAATAATAAAAACAATTATGGGGCCATGGAAGGGGCGGGGACTGGGATAAGGAGTCGAGGGGTGGGGGCGGGTATGGGGATGGTGACGAAATTTTAAGCGAGGATGGGGATGGGGAATGGAATTCCCGCCCTGTTGCCATCCCTAGACCGCGCACATGGTAAAAGATCCGCTGAATTCGATAACCACAACTCTGAAATTTTAAATATATATATTTAAGGGTTAAGTGCAAAATAAACCTCTAAACTATTGCCTTTTTACAAATAATCTCTCTGAACTAAAAATCGTATCTCTAAATTATTGATTTGTTACAATTAAGGACAAATCAATCACAAAAGATTATTTTACCTTTTCTTATTAAAATTTTCATTTCTTAGTAAATTATTTTTATTATTTTTTCTCGTATATAAGTCATAATTATACTATTTACCTCACTTTTATTTTTAGTATCAATATATCATAAAAATGAAGAAAAAAAATAAAATAAATAAGTAGATTTGTAACTACCATTTTCTAAAGTGATTAACTTATTATTAATATTTTATTATTTATAATAAAACGTATTATAACCAATTTAAACATTTTTACCGTAAAAAACTATCATTTTTTTCATACAATATATTGATGATAAATTAATAAAATACTTTTGAAAAAAATACCTTCTTTTTATGTAATATATTCATTAAAATTTTAAAAATTAATTATTTTTTAAAAATTAAATAAATTTAGGGTCCGTTTGGTATGCGTTTTTTTTAAGCGTTTTGTTTTTGGCTAAAACATAAACAGTGTCTTTATTGTAGGAGTGTTTTGTAAAAAAATCAGAAGCACGTTTGGGAACGATATTTTGCTGAGGAAATGTCATAAACAGAAATATGCAAAACCTGTTTGGTCACTAAAAAAAAAAAAAAAAACACTAAACTGAAAGTGGGAAAGAAACAATAAAATAAAATAAAATCAACCTTATCCCCAGGACCTCAGCTGACCTATAAAGTTGTCAATCTTTCTGCCTCCATCGTGATCTTCATGTTCCTTGTCATCGGAGGCAAAATGATTGGCGAAGTCGGTGATGGAGGGTGGGGGATTAGCGGTCGATTTTGATGAGGCGTTCGAGAGCCTAGTCGAGGCTGCGCTTGTGGATGTAGAAGGCGGAGACCGCCATTACCGACGCTTTGAACAAGGCCGCTGACGTTTTGGTTTTGGTTTGGTTTGTGTTGTGTTCGGGTTTTGTAAGGTTATTATACGGGTTTGATTTTGTGTGATCTGGGTTTAGTTTGTACTAGTTGAAAGGAAGAAGATGAAGACGATTCTGGTTTGGTTTTATACGATCGGTGTTGTATATGTTTCAAGTTTGAATCCAGCAAATCCAGCTTCGATAAGTGTTGGCTTAATTTCGATTGGTGATGATGAAATTTTCAGAAATTGCCCTTGAATCACAGAGAGAGTATCGAAAGAGAGGAGAGAAAATTTGCCTAAAGTGACCTCAAATGTTTTTACACCTGAAGCAAGTATGTTTTAAGTTGAGCCGGCTTTTTCCTCCACTACAGTGAATTTTATGGGCAAACAGTGCTGACACAAGATAAAACACCATTTTAGTGTTTCAAGTTTTGGGGTTTTTATTGAAATGTTTTATAACTGTGCAAAACAAAACATAACCAACCAAACATGTTTTGGACTTCATTTGGGCTACTGTAGCGGGCATGAAACAAAAACAAAGTGGATACCAAATAGGTACTCAATGGAAAATATCTTATCAAATTAGTATGAATTTTTTCATAATTTATTTATGTAAGAAAAATATATTAAATGTAATTATGGTCATTTAATGAAATATATAATACAGTATGGTCTTTGGTGTATGTTGTAACAAAATGAGATAGTTTAGAGAATTTTATGCACAAAATGTAGTTGAAGGAGGTTAATTGCAAATTCAAACATATTTCAAGGTTTTTTTTTTTTTTTTTTTTTTTTTGCACTTCACCCTATATTTAATTTATGGATAAGTTTGGTCCTAATGTAATTGAAATTAAACATTAAATTATTCTTTATTTTTAGGAACTGGAATCGAATCAAACTTAGCTAACCTATTTATCTGTTATATAATTTTTTTTATACCTTTAAACTGAAGTTGCTTTTCCTTTTTATGCTCTTCCATTCGGTACAAGTTATAAAGCGGAGTGAATTCTGGAAGCAATTTTGTTTCCTATATTCGATTTCACAATTTCAAATTGAATACCATTTTCAATTTTCTAAATGCCCATCACCTAAGAATCACAAACACTTTTATGTGATGTTGTGTCCGCGTTGGACACCAACAATCCGCGAATATTCTTAGATACTTATCTGTTGTCTAACACTTCATAGCCATGTCCATTATTTAAAATTAAATTTTATTATTTTTAATACTAGGCCAACACTTGGTCAGCATGCACGTAAAACAAACACACACAGAACATTCCTAATAACAACATTATTAGCATGCATCAAAGTATTCAACCATGAACAAAAAAAACAAAACAAAACTATAATGATAGGATAGGATAATAATATCAGATATAATATAAAAAAAAAATTTATTTGAATATTTTCATCTTCTGACTTATCCTTTAATTAATGTAATTTTAGTATAAAATTTATAAATTGATTGTAGTTCTATGATTACTTCATTCAATTTTATTTTTTATTTTTTTGTTAGGAGATGCATCGACGTGTCTGTATTGTGTCATGTCGGTGCATCACATAGAACAACTTAATTTAGAACAAAGAATCACCAAGCTCCGTTTGATTTCGTAAATGATAAAGCGAGACTCATTTATTAAGAGATTTCTGTAACGGGTAAACAATTGCCCATTTATCAAAAAGCTTAAACTATTAGGTAGTGCTGCATACCCATTCATTTAACTTTCCATCCAAATCAAACGTAGAACAAGTCTCTCCTTATAACATTATCCCCCCACCCGAATTCGCAACGACCTTGTTGTGGTTGGGTAATCCTGTCTACTCGGGAGGCACACCCAGACGCCTTCCGGTTCGGGCGCTTGGTGTGGCACTGGAGTAAGAATTGAGTCTACATTTGACACCAACTGTAACGGGTAGGCACTTATCCATATACCCAAAAGCTTAAATTATTACTTATATATATAAGGCGGTGAGAAATAATACAAACAAATTGAAATTAATGCACATGATGTGTGAGATGTGTTTTTGTAAGAATGACATATTGCAATCTGCATTTGCAAACACTATTAATGGTATGCAATAATTAAATGTAAGGTATAAATTGATAATAACTATTATAATATTTAGTTGAACTAATTTAAAACTTGGAATGTAATAAATTTTAAATTGAATTATCCAAAATACTCTTATCAATTACAAATAAATTAAATTAATAAAATAACAATATTTATATTTTAAAAAAAGAAATGGGGGTAACGATGGTGGTGGAAAGCGACAATGGTTTTGGAAGGTGGAGCCGTAGGAAGCTGGCAACAATGGTGGAAGACGATGATGGCAGTAGTGGTGAAAGGTGACAGTAGCGTGGTGGAAGGCGGTGACGGCAGTGTAAGCAACGGTGGTGGTGACAGTGGTAGGACGGTGTAAGTAATGGAATGTCGTGACCCGAGTTTTTCAACCAGATACGTCAGCGATGACCCGAATGTTGACCCAGTAACGGATCCGAAATGCGGAAGCAAAAGATAAACTAAGGTCTCTAGAGATAGAAGTCACCCCTAAG